AGCTGTCTGTATTCTTCTTCTGCCCTTGCTCAGACAGTCATGGGTACTTGCTCCTCGGGTGTTAGAGGGGAAAGGGGTGCCCGGGCCCTCCCTCACTCATGGTCCCCAGCCCAGGGCCCTAAGGACACGGACCCTCCGAAGTCCGGTTCGGCTCATGGGGGCTTCCCTCTGAAACTCGTCAGCCCACGAAGCTAGTATGGTCCTGCCCCGGGCTACTTCCTCTCTCTCTCTCCTCCCGCATTTGTCCTGCCGTCCCCGCAAGAGGCCTACCTGGCCTCCAGCGGCCCGACCGCTTGACTTCCCTGTAGGGGCTCAAGCTCCCATTGCTCCACGGGGGACCTGCTGGGGATACATCTGCCCCTACCGCCCCTACGTTCACCGGGTTTGGATCCCCTTTGCTCCACTGGGGTCCCGCTAGCCGGCGCCGCTTCCCGGAGTGTCGTGGCGTTTTAAATCCCCCGCCGCTTCTGGTGCTGGACGGGACATTGCTCTGATGTCACAGGGTGGCTCCGCCCACTCCGTAGCGTCCGGGCAGCGTCTCGGCCGCTGCGCCTGGGGCCGCCAGACGCATAGCGGCCCATGAACACCTGGCACAATGCCAGTGCCCTGCCCCTCGCACTCCGAACAAGGCACTTATGGCCCCCCGGCACAGGCGCTATACTGCGGCACCCCGGCACAGGCGGCTATACTGTATAATGGGGGAGAGGCTGAGGTGATACCCACTCGTGGGGATGCCAGTGGGGAGGGGAAGATTCCCTTGCACACGGTGATTCAGTCACTACCTTTCCTGTCCTGGCCCTGGGTCGCAGTGTCTGGTACCTGGGGGGGTGTTGGTACCAAGGTGTCTCCTCGCAAGCTGCTCTGTCCCGGCCCCTCTGGAACATGCTCCCAGCCTGGGCCTGGTGCCAATTGGCGTATGACCCTGTTAGCCCTGTTCCTGCCGGAGTCTGTGAGCAGGGCCTGCCTCTCACTCAGGCTATGTCTATACTGCAGGCTTCTTGCACAAGAAGCTTTTTTCGGAAGGGATTTTCAGAAAAAATTTCTTGCGCATGTAACCCTTCTTCCAGGCCGAGTTAATAGCAGCAAGGGACGGGTTCAGTCTCTAGGGGTCTCCTCCCAACAAGGCAGTACTACACTGGCTCGAGCCCCCACCCAGTGACCTGGGAAATCTTACATACACCCCTGGGTGCCTCAAAGAGGCAATTCTTCCCCTCTTGCAAGCACAGAGCCTTGGAATAGCAGCAAACCTTTAATAACATGAGGTAACCGACCTCAGCATTAAATTGGGAAAACACCACAACTCGGATTTGTAGACCAAACATGAGCAAAGACCCACCCTCCAGCTACGAATTCCCCAAAGTCCCCAAAAGTCCAACACCCCAGGAGTCTCTTGAGTTTTAAAAGTTCACCCGGCAGGGTTTTACCATCCCAACCTGGGTGGAATGGAGGGGGCAGAGGTTGATACACCTTATGTGGTCCGCCGCTGGCTCCGCCTCTCCGTAGTGTTCTGCCGCCGCCGACAACGCGAGTCACTCCGCCACACTCCACCCGTGAGCCGCCTCAGCCGTCCCACGAACTGCCCTCTTCTATAGATTATATAGATTTCCCTCTTATATAGATTAACTTTTTTGGTAACAACATTTTCTCCTGCAATACACCAGAAGGGTTTACTACAAGTAAAAGTTTTGCAAAAGGCAAATTTCAGTTAACAAAATGAACAGCTTGAGGAAATATCTGGGAAAATGCCAGTGATTTCCCCTCTTTTCCATTGTATCAATTAACTCACTTTCGTTTTCCTTCCCTAATTTCTCTAGTTGTGGGAAAAGACACTCTTGTCTAGAGACTTTCTGAAGGCGCCATGCACCTCTTTGTTCCGCAGCGTGTATATTATGGGGTTCAAAATGGGTATGACAACAGTGTACAGGAGGGAAATCCAATGATCACTCTCTGGTGTGTAGCTGGACTTGGGTTTTAGATAAGCTGAAAGGCAAGTTCCATAGAGTAAAGTCACCACCATGAGGTGGGAGGAGCAGGTGGAGAAGGCTTTATGCCTCCCCTCTGCCGACGGCAGCTGGAGGATGGTGGAGATAATGAGGATGTAGGACAGGACTATCAATACAAAAGGGCCCATGATGAACAGCGCGGAAACAGTCAAGCCCAGGATCTCGTTCTTCCATGTATCGGCGCACACCATCTTCTCTATTGGCCGGATGTCGCAGAAGAAGTGGGGGATGCGCTTGGAGCCACAGAAGGGCAGGCTGAAGAGCCACGTGGTCTCAGCTGATTCTGCTAAGAGGCCAATGGTCCATGAAGCCCCTGCAAGCAGCGCACACGCCCGGCCGCTCATGATGGTTGTGTAGTGCAAGGGGCGGCATATGGCCACATAGCGGTCGTAGGCCATGGCTGCGAGGAGGCAGCATTCTGCGAGGCCCAGGGTGCTGAAGACCAACATCTGGACCATACAGCCCACAAAGGAGATGGTCTTTTGCTCCACCAGCAGGTGAACCAGCAGCTGAGGGGTCACGCTGGTGGTGCAGCAGATTTCCAAGAGAGACAGGTTCACCAGGAAGAAATACATGGGGGTGTGGAGAGAGGAGTTCAGGATTATCAGGAGGATAATGAGCAGGTTCCCCACCAGGGCCATTGGGTAGGTGGGCAGAAGCAGCAAAAACAGAAGGATCTGCTGCTCGTTAAGGTAGGAAAAGCCCACCAGGATGAACCCATCAGAAATGGTCTGGTTCTCGCCAGGCTCACTCACAGAATAGGTCATCTGCAGGGGTGAGAAAGGAAGAGACGCTGGAGCTCAACATGTCAGGCTGGGTCACCATCTCTTCGCAGTAAAACGAGCTGCAGTTCAATATGGAAATATGTCCCGGTGCCCTCTCAGCAGCAGGTGCAAGTTGATGTAGCTGTTTTTGTGTCAATTGAGATCAACTCCAGCTGCGACCCTACTGACTGCAGGGGAATTACTGCTGATTTACAATAGGTGCGGGATCAGATGTATTGACTCCAAAGAAGATTCCTCAATTTCTACCAGCAAAGGAGTTTTACTATTTTCCTCTGCCTGGGAATCTGGTCTATCTCCTCAGATATAATTTTATGTCTAAGTGAATGTCCAAAAAAAGGGATGAGTCTTTCCTTTTGTTCCCTTGTCCCTCTGGGGTTGTTATTCTGCAGTCAAATTTAAATGATAGGATTTCTTCCTTCAGGGTCAAATTCTCATCTTACGCATAGGAGGTTCGTTATGCCCATGCGAATGTTCCCGCTGACTTCTTAACTCACATGAAGGGGGCGGCTCCCAGGAGTAAAGTGTAAGAAGGGAGACCAGCATAGCTAAAGCTCTCCAGAGAGTAAAAGAATGCCAGGCCAACTCCCATCTCCGATGGGTGGAAGTTGAATCCCAGGAAGGGTCTCTGACATTTCTGGCACTGACATTCTTCCCAAAATGGGAATTCCAGTCAATCCTCTCATTCCAGAGTGGCATTGGACATGTGTTGGCTTCTCTCAGTGTGGGAAAGAAGAGTCCAGATTCTCATCTGGAATCAATCTCACAGGTTAGGGACGCAGAGCCCTAGTGAGTTGCAAACGTTGAGGATCTTTTCCCATTTCCTGCCTGTAAAGGGGCTGGAAGAGAAAAGATCCTGCAATGCAAGATGTAATTTCTTTCATACCAGATGTTTTAATTTTCACAAGGGACGTCATAATAATGGGTAATGACGTGAACACCCCCTCCCCCAAAGTTGAAATGAAAATGAGCAATAATACATATGAGCATTTTGCCTGTTGTTAGCACCTTCAATATACATCAAAGAATAACGAATTACCCAGGTGGAACGTGGGAATGGAAGAGATATGGGCTATGCAGTGAGTCAGCATTCCCCAAAATACAGTGGACTCTCATGAAACCAGATTTTATGTTACAGCCATAAGACCAGTCTTTTGGAAATGCAGCACACACACACATATATGAACAATCACAAATGCACACAAAGGCACAAACACACATACATAGATTCAAAAGAATCAAACAAAGAAAACTGAATCAAACCACTAGGTCACTCTAGGGGGTAGCACTGTAAAACGGGCTCAGCTGAGAACTAAAGGGAAGGGTGATCTCTCAATAAGGAGCACTGGAGAAGAGGTGGGAATTCTTCTTCCTCTAATTGGGGAACTTACATGGAGATTTCTGAGCACAAACACAAAAGTCACAAAAAAGAGCTGGCTGGAAAATGGAAGGTCTGATGGAAATTCCAATATTGGAACACTCACGCTCACCCTGAATCGCTAGGGAACCTGAATTCTGCTGCAGAAGGGTCAATATGAAATCGCATGGAAAATACAAAGTGTCCTCAACATCAGCGTTTTCTCATGGAAAACATCAGTGCTGAGGAAACCTTCATTCAGCTGGGATTTGTTTGATTGATGTGTTGGCTGGCAGTGGGAAAAGCTCTTTATAAATGGAGACATTTACTCACCATGAGCAAGAGGATCTGTGCAGGTTCTGGTCCGTGGGGGGAGAGTGATATTTTCACAGCTCTTCAGGGCATCTGGACACTCCATGGATAGTTAGGAGAACATGGAAGGAACTATAGAAACACACATAAGCTGGAGGGAGTAATGAGATATATTACTGGAGCAGCAGGCGCCGAGCATGCTAGAAATGGACTCTCTTAGAAGGGATCAGACTTTGCCCACCCACCTGATGGTATCCAATCCTTGAGAGAGGACCCACATCAAGGAACAACATTTCCCTTTGGATTCAATGAAGGAGGAAGAGGAAGGTTGGGGAAAAGAGGGGAGTAAGGACAAGAGGAGGAGAAGCAAGAAACAAAAACCCCTACCACCGCCACCAAACCACAATAAAATGACTAAGTAGACTCAAGACATGGGGATGAGCTTATTTGAGGTTAGCTATCGCTTTTGGAGGCACTAAGGTAATACGGGGCCAGATCTTCAGATAGTATAAATTAGCCTAACACCCCTGAGATCTAGCTCACAACATGATCCATGATGTTCTCAAATCAGTTGATATGAGAATAATACATTTGGAGAACAATAGATCAACTGAGATTGAATAGAGAGACTGGCAGATGTATTCAGAGAACAATAGCTTAACTGACATTCTAATAAAGAGACTGCCAAATGGATTTGAATAGATGCAGGGGCTAGATAGATGTGGGGGCAGTGTATGGGGATAGAGAGAGAGGTGTGGGGGGTATAGGAAGATAGAGGGGGATGTATGATAGATAGATAGATAGATAGATAGATAGATAGATGGGGTGGGCAGGGATAGATAGATAGATAGATAGATAGATAGATAGATAGATAGATAGATAGATAGATAGATAGAGAGAGAGAGAGAGAGCGAGCTGTGCTATATGGGGACAGGCAGACAGAGAGACAGGGAGGTATGTAGATCTATAGATAGATGGATAGATTCTCTGCCCATGCATAGGACATTCAAATGACCCAGAGACAGGATATTTCTCCCACTGCAGAGTGGGGCACAACACCACTGCAGGTCACTGGGAGAAGGACAGCAGGTTCCGTCCTTCATTCAGACCCTATCGTGGTTCAGGAGAGAAGTTCTGTCTCATCACAGAAAGGGCTAATTGTGTGGAAGAGAAAACCGGTGTTTTTATTTCATTCTCTGGCCTTGGGGATCTAGTCCCTGAAGTGATTGTTTTATAACATTCCTTGGAGGCACAACAACCCGGCCTCAAACTGCAACAGCACATGATTCCCCAGGTCCGTCAGTTAGAACAAACTTGCATCAGCAGCAGCAACATAATGTGTTGTCTAGACGACAGTTGCAAGGGGCTTTACTACACATGGTGAAGGGTCTGTCAATTTTTTTCTCAGAGACATGATGAGGAAGACTGACTTGTCCAACACTACACACAGCGTCAGGGACGCCCCCAGGGCTCATGGCTCCAGGTCTCTGTTGCTCAGATTCTGAGCCCCACTCTTGTCACAGAGCCACTCTGAGAAGCCAGGAGCTGTGACTCTCGGCTGCAATTGCTGTAACCACTAAGTCACTCTCCCCTTTCAGGGCTGTGAACAGAACCCAGGAGTCCTCCCTCCCAGAACCCCCTGCCCTAGCCGCAAGGCCCATTTCCCTCCATGATTACCAATCTCACAGCCCAGAGCAGTCAGGGGACGGGTCCCTTTGGCTCCAGTCAGTTGTCAGGAGGACAAGAACCAGGACGAGCTCCCAGGGGCATCAGAACAAACTCTGAGTTGGAGCAGAGGCGCTGGGGACTGGGTGCTCTAGGGAGTGGGGTGATGGCTTAGCTGGGAGCTCTGGGTATTACACCAGAACAATAGGCACTGTCTTCTCAAGTTTTAGCAGTCAGGGGACGGGTCCCTTTGGCTCCAGTCAGTTGTCAGGAGGACAAGAACCAGGACGAGCTCCCAGGGGCATCAGAACAAACTCTGAGTTGGAGCAGAGGCGCTGGGGACTGGGTGCTCTAGGGAGTGGGGTGATGGCTTAGCTGGGAGCTCTGGGTATTACACCAGAACAATAGGCACTGTCTTCTCAAGTTTTGTGACTGAAGCTCTTACTGATGTTAACTGAGGCTATTTACGGTATAAGATGGAGGTTAGACCAGGCCTGGGCAAAATATGGCCCAGGGGCTGGATCTGGCCCTCCAAGCTACTGGATCTGGCCCGTGGATGCAGCAGGGAGCCCCAGGTAGGCTCCCTGATTTCCTCACCCCACCCGTATGCTGCTCAGAAAAGCTGCTGTTGGGTCATTTCTCTTTTAAAATTGTGAGCCAGAAGAGGAGGGGGGAAGACTTCATGAGCTGGCTCCAGCCCCCCACAATCCCATAAGAGGCTACCACAAAGCACCACGCCCCCTCCCCTTTGGCTTGTAGTCATTCACACATGCACATGGCCCTGCAGCCTGTGCGGAGGCGGGGTAGTCGGGCTAGGCAGGCAGACAGGCAGGCTGGCTGTCTCGCTGAGAAATGTGCTGGGCTGCTGGCTGGGAGTCACTCAGGTAAGTCTCCTGGCCAGAGCTTGCCTCATCCACCCTCCCATCAGAAATCGTTGCCCTCCTGCTGTACACATTTCGCATATCTGGAGTTGCTTATTTGAAACCCAGCTCTGGCAGCATCCGCACTGCGAACTTACCTGAGTGACTCCCAGCCAGCAGCCCATCACGTTTCTCAGTCAGCCAACAAACCAGTCTTCCTGTCTGCCTGCCTACCCCACCTCCAGACAGGCTGCAGGGCCGTGTCCGTGTGTGAATAACTACAAGCCGGAGTGGAGGGGCGTGGTGCTTTCTGGCAGCCTGTTATTCAAACAGGCAGCCCCCTTTGGTTGGTTTCTGGCCAAAAATCATCCAATGGGATTGTGCTAGAGATGGGGGCAGCTCCCTCCTCTTCTGGCTTGCCGTTTTAAAAGAGAAATGGCCCGACAGCCACTTTTCTGAGCAGAATCCGGGTGAAGCAAGGCAAGCAGGGAGCCTACCTGGGGCTCTCTGTTGAGCTTGCTGGCCAGATGCAGAGGCTTGGAAGGCTGGATCCAGCCCCCGGGTTGTATTTTGACCAGGCCTAGTGTACATGGAGTCAGCTTACCTTAAGCCAACCTTCCTGGTCTAGTATAGCCCAGGCCTGTATGTGCGGCCCATCCCAACTCTCTCCTCGGCATGGCTCAGTCCACCCTCATCTGTGGGAGCGTGCTGGTGTCAGAGTGCTCTGGAACTAGCCTGCAATGTTCCTACATGACATGTGCCTAGCACGACTGGGATATGTTTCTGTAAAA